AAAATAACTACACAAATAGACAAGCATTGCTTCTATTATTAAGCTATGAACTATATCACGCTTATAAACATCAAAAGTAATATGTCTCAACATGAAATTTAGTCTTTACCTTAGAATAGAATGATCCACATAGCTCGGGTGCTCTATACCATCTGGTTGCAACATAATCCTGCATAATATTATTACCTCAGAACGTTCCGGGCAAAAGAAAATGTTAAGAGAAAAATATATTACATGGCATTTATCCACTCAACTCGCAACAGAATATCACGGCAAAGAACATTCATATTTTTTAACATACCGTCCAAAATATTGTTGTAGAAGTATCATTGAATGCAACTCTTGCTAATCCAAAGTCGCAGATCTTAAGCTTACAATTTGCATTTGCTAGAATGTTCTTCGGCTTTAAATCTCGATGGTAGACATTTGCTGCATCACAGTAACAGTGTCAGAACAGAGCTAAGACAGCATCATGCAGCCAGTTTGAACAGCTAAAGAACATGACACTAAAATATTAACTGTTTTGAGCATTAAAAAACAATCTTTGAAGCATAAATGTTTAAATAGCTTTAATAAACAAAGAAAATGAAAAAAAAAATCAAAGTGACTCTCGGGAAAAAAATTTGACTATAGCATGAAAAAAATGAGGTCCCTTCTTGCTTACTGAATTAACTGAAGATTTTAGGAATTGTGCAGAAAATGGAGACAATAAAGTTGACCAGCTTAATGAGCATGTTATTAATCATAGAGGTAATTCAAATGCACTGCCGGAGGAACATCTACATGTACATAAGCAAATAAAGCATGAATAGCATGTCAGTTTAGTGAAATAAACGTATGGATCCTAAACTGGAATCAGCCCTTCAGTTTGTAACTTCTCCACGATTCCACCCTTCCCTGGTCCTGACTCCAGAGAAAAACTTATTACCAATTCAGGAGCAGCACTCATACTAGGAATGTGAGGAATATAGTACTAATCTTTGATTGGAATTCTCTAGACAAAGGTTGGTTCAAGGAGAAAATGTTCTGTTACAGATGAATTTTCCATGCCTACAAATAAATAAATGGTTTGCAAAAAAAAAAAATTCTAGGACCTAAGCATCTTGAACCTCATTACAAAGACTGGAGATTTCCCCATAAAACAAAAAACACTAGCATACTAATTAAATATGTATTGTCTATTAGCTAAATGTATCCAGAGCTATAAGAATTCAGCTAATTCCAAAGTAAAAACTTTAAACTTATGTTGTTCAAATATGAACAAGGACGAAGGTAAATGTAAATTGTAAATTATGACATGATTAGCTAAATAGTGAAAACATAATCATAACTACTCTATAAGCATAAAGATGAGAAAATAATCAGAGAGTCAAGCAAAAGAGTAAATGCCCTGAATGTTTTTTATAATGCAAAACCAAAAGAGATAATCATCAGACATGGAGGGACTGGGGCTATAAATTCATAGGGGATGATCACCAACCAAACAAGATGCCAACTCACTCCGACTCTGATCAGAAAAACAAGAACAAGGAGGAAAGATATTGGCAGAATCTTCTACTGTAGTCACAAGTTTTTTGGGTGGAAAGCTTACTTGTAATGGCTCAAGAAGAATATTTTCAAGAGGTACTCATCCTAATACTACTCCAAAGCTTAATTGGTAATGTGAAAATTTTCACACACACACACACACACACACACAATATAGCTCTCCATTCAGAAATGTTAAATACAGTTTAGTTTTATTCAAAGAACCCTGCCACTACACCAAAACTCCAACATTATGTGAGGGTTGAGGGTTATAATTTTATATTTTAGCATGTAACAACAGTTGAGCGCCGTTTTCATGGATGAAACCTAGACTCACACAGCAGTATCAAAATTTTTAAAATCTGCATAAAAATATATGGCCAGCAAAATTCAAACTTGATTCACTTTGATACAATGTCAAAGAACCCTGCCATCGAAATTCCGAAGTTACAGTAAGGATTGAGGGTTACAGTTTACTATTATAACGAGTTTCAAATTCATGGTAACTATCACACTCTAAACTCATTACCACTACAAAATTCATGTGGGACTACTAACATAACAGAGTTGTGGTTTCAACCCCACCACACCCCACCCAAGAAGAAGAAGAAGAGCTATTCAGGAAGCAAACAAAGTAATTAGTGGGTAGTTATATCTGCATATCCACGCCTAAAAAAACAAATACAAAAACAAAAAACAAAAAGAAGAAGAAGAAAAGGAAGTAATTAGTTATGCATGGACAAAGAAATTGTCTTCAAAGCTGTAAAAAAATAGCAGCGAGGAAAGAAATTAAATCTTATTTTTAAGGAACAAGGAATCTATTCCAATAAAAAAAAAAGAAACCAGATTATAACTGATCTCAAGTCAATATTAGAACCAGGGGCGGATCTATGTTGTGGCTTAGGGTGCAGTCGCAAGCCTGAGAATTTCATAGTTACGTTCTAAAGCCTTCTCAAATTTCAACCTGCCCCCTATACTTGCATATATTTGTTCGCCCCCTAAGAAAGTTTTTTCTTTGGATCCACCACTGATTAGAACATCTACTAACCAACAGGCCAAGTCCCCACCAATTTACAGAATGCATCAGTCAGAACTTTTTGGCTACAACATGCTCATGATTTGCATGTATCAATCACATCAATACAAACACCAAAAATAAAGCAGGCAATGCTGCTAAAATACCCTGACAACGAAACAAAGAGTGCCTTCGTGTAAATTTTGATTATTCATACAAATTAGTCCATTATAACATTTCATGGGCATACTGTCAATTATGCTGATTTAGTTGATAAGAAATTAATAAAAATGCAAAGATATATATGTGAGAGCTAGGACAACATAATATAAAGAATAGAATAGAAGCTAAGAATATCTAAACCAAGCCAAGTCATGATAGGCATGGACCCCAAATTAGAGTGATAGAATCAGAAAACTTATCAATGATATCAATTTCACATGGTAACAAATTGGATTCGAAATTAGACAAAGATGAACAAAAAATAGAAAATGAACTCAAATCAGTTCAACTTAAGAAGTCATGCATATGTGGGGACAAAGCTACTTAGCTAAGAGATCAAATTCAAGTAAGTTAACTACATAATGAGAACCTATGAGCTTGAGACATAACAAGGATAGATAGGAGATCACTGATTAGCTATGATGAAAAGAACCACACAAGTCAAAGTCTTTGCAATCAAGAAAGCAAATGAATTTCAACTTTTCAAATAATAATATGAAAATATAATTCTTTTCAAGCATAGTTAATACAAAGTTGAAATATTTCACACAAGATGTATACTCTAAAGAAAAATCATTATTGACTGTTTGATAGATAGAATTTCCATTGCAGGATAGACAAAGGACATATACCTGTGTGGATATATTTCAGAGCCCGTAAAAGTTGATAAAGGAAAAACTGGTAATGTTCTTTTGTCAGGTCATCGTTAGCCTTGATGACTTGATGCAGATCTGATTCCATGAGCTCAAAAACAACATAAATATCCTTGAATTCCCTTCTTGATGGTGGAAGCATAATGTGCTTAATCTCTACAATATCAGGGTGCCTTAGAAGCCTGAGAAGCTTGATCTCACGGAGGATCCGAGCCGCATCGGAGATGTGCTCAAAGATATCGTGTATCTTCTTGATCGCGACTTTTTCTCCAGTGCGTGTATCAATTGCTGAACACACTAACCCATAACTTCCTTTACCTATAACCTCCTGAATTTTGTATCTATTTGCATCCCCATATGTGAAGAAATCCATTTCCGGCGAATTCTGCAAATGAAATTAGCATCCGCACTATTTGATTATTATCTGTAAGAGAAGACTTGAACCAATTGTCTTCAACAGATACAAATTCTAAAGCAATATGATGCATTAGTTCAGCCTAAATGACTTGCGGGTGGTCTTCTATATCAGTAAATAAAAGTGAAGTCGTCAATGTTCAATGGCTTAAGGGCACTGCAGCAAATTATAACTCGTAACTCATCGTAACTGCATAGAAATGCGCCAATGAAAATCTAAACATTACAGCTGACATGCATAAATTTGTTGCTGAGTTCTCAATATGTCACTTAAATTCCAATGTCTGTTGTCTGTTCTAATCTTCTAATCTTGGGCAAATTCTACTTAAAAATTCCAACAGTAGCATGAGATTTTCATTTACTTGATCCTGTTTCATTGCTCAATGAAGAATTCTCATAAAAAGATAAAACTTTAAAAGCAACCACTTCTGTAGATATCAGCAACGAAAATAAACAAGAAATAAAGTAATTGAACACGATGAAAAGGAGTATCCTCAATATTTTCGCCTTCAAAATGACAGTTTTGTTCCTTTGCCGAATAAAGAAGAAAGGAGTGATATTAAGAAGAAGCTAAAAAGACTTAAACTGCAAGGGATAATTTATTTCAATGAATAAGTCAGTAATAAATAGATAAATGGAAGGAGGGGGGAAACCTTTTTTCTCCGATCTTGCTGCATCTCCATTCAAATCTCGAAATCCTGCAGTCCACCAATCCAAAAAGGACAAAAAAAAAGAGAAAAAAAAAAGGAATTTTGATTTCAGGGCCTCCTCGATCAGAAAGATTGAAATCTTGAAATTAAAGAGAAGAAGAAACTGGATCAGATCTGCTCAAATGTGGGTTTAATAGAGATCAAATCAAATCAAATCAGCCGCATTTTTTCCCCATCTGCCTCTCCAACGGATCAAAAAATTGAAAATTATCCCTCATTCACTCCTTCAACATTCAGATTCCTCAAGAAACCGATCCAATTCTATCTGATCTTGCGCAGATTCGTCTAATTTCGATAATAATAGTAAAATAATAAGTATACACAAGCACCGACAGCAGCAACGCAATGCGATCAAGATCGTCCGAGATCAAGACGACGATGAAGATGAGGCGAGAAGAAACAGGAGAGAGAGAGGGGACTCGGGGGATTGAATCTATGGGCGTTTTAAAAATAGTGGCAAGGATGGTAATATGTGTGAAAGAGGGAGGGCTTTTTTGAGTGCAGGTGCGGTGGTGTCGGCATTGCTTGCGCTTGGGTACACGTAGACAAAAGGAAATTAGGAATACGACGGGCTAGATCTGATTATTCAGAGTGAATTTAGGACAGCCACTGAACTTTCGATTTTAAAAATCTTCGAATTTATCATAAATCCCTCGAATTCTAAGGGATCTTGCAATCCAAAACCCTCCTAGTTCAAGAAAATATTAGCTGAACGCTACTTTAGCTGTTGAGGGATCAAATTGCAAGACTTATTAGTATTGAGGGGCTTATGGGCAATTTGAAATATTTAGGCGACTAATATGGAACTGTTCATGATTTAAGGAAGGATTTTTTTTTAAAATAAACTCTATTAGAAATTTATTTTTAAAAATCGACCCCTTTGAAATTTAATTACCATTTTCGACCTGGTTTCAGCCACCTGGTTGAAACCAAGTCGAAAATGGTAAATAAAGTTCGAAAGCTTCAAGGGATTTAAAATCCCGTGAAGTTTAGTTAATAAATTACGCAGCCTAATCACGAAATAGACCAAGTCATCTGAAACTACAACCAAACATCACAAGATTTGAAATCATGTGAAGTTGCAGGGGGCATCTGCCAGAGAGCTTGTATCGAGCTCTTTGTAAAAACGGGCCTGCAACTTCACGAGATTCGAAATCTTATGAAGTTTAGGTGTATTTCTTCCGTGTCTTCATTAGCATAGTTAACCATGCACTAAACTTCACGGGATTTTAAATCCGGTAAAGTTTTTAAAATTTATTTGCTATTTTCAGCCTAGTTTCAACCAGGTGGCTGAAACTGAGTCGAAAATAGCAATTAAATCTCAATTGGGTCTTTTTTAAAAATAAATTATTAATAATGTCTATTTTAAAATTTGTCATTTAAGGAACCAAAGTCAAAATAAATCTCCAAAACAAGGGTTTTGAAAATTACTCCCTAGCATATTCAATATTTTGAAATAGTTATTAGGCCCCAAGTTCTTAGAAGTTGTCCCAAATTTTAGTGTTTGAAATCATTAGAATTGCTATCATGTCTCCTCCGGTTCTTATAAAATTTTCAAATTAATCCATTTTGTACAGAATAGCATTAGCAATGTAAGAAAAAAGGCAATTTCAATTATTTAAGGTCTTATTTAATATTATTAAAGATTTAAAGGACTTTATTCTGGAATAACACTTAAGATAATGACATATCTCTTGTAAACTTAAATGAATAGAAAGTTTTATCAACTAATTTTTTACTTAGGGGGTGTTAGTCAATTGGGACATTTTCATGCAAAATGGGATAATTATTATAGTGGAATAATTTTTGCTAGTGGGATATTTTAGTGGGATAAATAGGAACAATTTTGTGAAACGGGATATTTTGATAAAATAACGTGGGATAAATTTTTATAATCATAAAATATATATTTATGCATTTTGAATATATAAATACTATTTATGTGCTTTAAACTTACTATTATTAATTGATAATTACTTACAAGAATGTTCATTACTATTAATTAAATAATTTTTAATTAGACTATAAGATATTGACAATTATTATTATAATAACGGTCTAATGATGGTGATAACCATAGTAGGAAAGAAGTAAAGAAAAAAATAAATATAAAAAATAAAAAATAACAAAATAAATATAAGTTCTAGTTTTTTACCACCTAGTTCCAAGCTAAAATATAAAAAATAAAAAATAACAAAATAAATATAAGTTCTAGTTTTTTACCACCTAGTTCCAAGCTAAAACTTGGAATAATTTGAGAGACTAGAATATAAGTTCTAGTTTTTTACCACCTAGTTCCAAGCTAAAACTTGGAATAATTTGAGAGACTAGAACTCTCTTTTTTGTATAGAAAAATAAAAAAGTGGGATAATTTTGTACCATTATCCCAATTCTAGTTTTGTTAAAGTTCTACTTGACTAACACTATATAATTTTATTCTAGTTTTAGTTCTATGTGACTAACACCTTAAAAATTTATCCCACAGATTATCCTAGTTCTAATTTTAAGTTCTAGGTGACTAACCCCCCTTATTGATTTTGCTTTAAGATTTGTGTTAACATAATACACATCAAAACATATATCTCAAAGGTAACCTTGATATGCAGTATGAATTTCAAAACAAATCAAGAGATAAAAAAGTTGTAGCATGAAGAGTCTCCCATCCATTGAAGTTTATTTTAACTTTATTATTTATTTCATAATAATTGATAATGGCTAATAACTTTACTGTAATGATCAATAATGTGATTGTACTAATACAATAATAATTATTATTGTAATGAGAAAATAATATGATTATACTAATATAAATTGAATTGATATTGAATATTTTGAAAGTAGTCCTTCAAATCATTACTACTCTTTATCTTATCTCTTGTAGACGCACAAAAACTTTTATGTCTCAACAATGGTGTTTTCTTGTTTTTTTTTTTTAAACACAATGGTGCTGTGTTTTTCTCCAAAACCATTTTCACAACACCGTTTTGAGTTTTTGATCAGAACTAGTTTGACTTTATGTACAACCATTTATACTACCAAATTCACCACAATGTTTCCACCCCAAACTACCACTGCCATAATTCATACCATTGCTCTGCCGCTGCCCCCCCTGTCGGTGCCGACATTATTGCCATCCCACACTAGCGATGGACAAAAAAGAAAAATGAAATAATGATAATAAAAAACTCAGAAAAATTCTAATGCAAAAACTAATAAGATAAATGCATTCTACTTCACCGTAAAGAAATAAAAAGTATCTTTCAAAAGAAAAGATGTATGTTTTAAAAAAAAATATGAACTCTTTACTTTATTCAGCATTAGAGAAATCAGAGAAAATTAGGGAAAAGGGCGAAATGAATTAAACCTAACAAATAAATCTAACAAAACAGTTCTTCATATTTGGGACAAAATTAGGGGAAAACAAAAAATTAGGGCAAAATGAAATTCACTCAAATTAGGTAGGGGGGATATCAAATCCAACTGTAATCTTTCACTAAACCTCATATACTTTTTTCTTCCTCTCACTTCCTCCTTCATTTTACATGAGTTTGTTATAAAATTTTGCCTAATTTTTACTTGTTTGAACAGAGAAAGATGTACCATTTGACGGAAATCTAAAGATGATAGCAACCCTCGATGACTTCCAACGGTGGCGACGACTTCTGATGCCATGGAAATGGAGGCACAAAGGGAAGAATTGAGGTAGAAGAGGTTATTTCCTCTTGGGAGAAGACATGTGGGCTTTTATTTCTGAAACATAAACGAAAGACTCAAAACACCTTTTTGGTGTTTTGAAAAAATCGTTTTGTTTAGGTTGGGTCATGTTTTGGACCAAAAAATGCATTGATACCCAAACAAAACTATTTTGTTTTTAGCCCAAATATAATCGGAAATGGCCTAAACACATCGGTTACCAAACGCACCATTAATTAATTAAAGGGTTCAATACCTTTTGATAAGCTTTGAAAGTGAAATAAACTTGATGATACCTATAGCTCATATACAAGTTAACTTGAAGGTATGCTCTCTATATTAATTAATTCAAAGAGGCATACATTTACCTTATAGTTGTTGATGTCAGTTATCAAGCAGGGATTTTACTTGCAGATTGAAGTAGAATCAGGGTCCTCAAACTCCTTTAGACGGTTGGCTCCATAGATTGTTGTTCTTCCTACACACGAAATACTTGTGAGAGGCCGGAGGTGGGTTCTCCGGTTGTTCCTCCTATGATCAAGTCAGTGTTTGAGCATGTGAGAGGAGTATAAAATAAGGGAATAAATACAAAGTTTCACTGTTACCTCTCCTAGAAACAATACCTCGTGTAGTGCCACTTCCTTTTATAGTAGACTGGAAGGGTAACAAAGTAACTGTGGCCAAGTCTAGGTAGGTAGCTAAATCGGCAGACAACTGACAGGTGTCGGTTGTGGGTGTCATGAGTTATCCTTGTGATAATAAGTGTCAGCCACTGTCGAAGATGGTCATCTAGGTGGCTAGTGCAAAGCGACAACAGCTGCTTGGTACTGACTAGGTCTGATGAGTCACAAAGACTATCAGGGCTAGAGCAATGATGACTTTATCAAAACAGTTAATGCAAGGGCAGGTAATTGTCAGCGCGAGGTTTGAGAAAACTACCTGACACGCCCCGCTTCCCAAAATACCAGGGAATCAGAACGTGAACAAGCCCGCGACGTATTAGACTGAGGAGACAAAATACCAGGGAATCAGAACGTGAACAAGCCCGCGACGTATTAGACTGAGGAGAAAAGTACTAGACCTTCTACTCAATCTAATACGCTAAGTGAACAAGCCCGCGACGTATTAGACTGAGGAGAAAAGTACTAGACCTTCTACTCAATCTAATACGCTAAGTGTTAAGCAATATAAAGCGAAGGCACAGGTCCCCGATCACAGTAGCAAGAATATAATAAACAACTCAGAACCAAATGATACACATCACAACTGAAATAATCATCCAGACATAATATTCGGGTCAAACATGCCCTTATACAAAACGATCTGAATACTGGAAAATATAAAATACAATGATCAGGCGGAAATGGAAAGTGTATAAAAGTAAACTAAGGACCAACAGCTGATAAAAGAAATGACTATGCTTCGGCTTCTTCTGCTCGGTCTACAAAGCACTCCTGCGGAGGATCTTCTGGCTCCTGTACGACTCCGAACTGAAGCTGTTCGTCTTCTAGATCTGACGTACAACCCGAGAGAACAGGAGTACATCAGCGTGCATGGCACACGGTAAGATCCCACAAGGAAGAATAGAAACGGTCGAACGACTAATGCAAGAATAAGTAATAATAGTAAAAGAAGCATGCTACAGGAATACTAATAATCTAAATGCAATCTATCACTATAATATAATAATCAAAAGAATCTAAGAAAATCAACCAAGTAACAAGTCGATGATGCCT